TTATATTTTTATACTTAATTATGTATTTAATTACTTATTTAATTTAATTTATACGCATTTATTTTATTATTTATTTAAATGACTTAAAATGACTTGCCAAGTTACTCCAGTTAAGTTATTAGTTAGTTACTTCAAGTTAAAGTTACCGAGGTAATTAAATTAGTTAGTTAAAGTTATATGGATAACTTGACTAACTAACTAAATTCCGAACCCTGATTGTTAATAATTACAAATTTGGTTTTTTAGCTTTTTTTTTCCAAACGGCGTTTATATAACCAATTGCTAATTTAAATTGCAAGCATAACGTATTGGTTAAAATGCTCGGATTTTTTAAGCTTAAAAATTTCGTTTTTTACGTTATTTTATAAGCTATTGTAAAAATGGGCAATTTTAATTTGGTTGGTTTAATTAAATTTATTAACAAAGCGTTGGAAATTAAAAACGTACATTAATACCGCGCTTTTTTATCGGAGCTAAAGTATTTTTCGTTTTGCTATTTGCTATTTGTTAATTTGCCTAAATACGCTAGCAAATTTTTTTTTAAACCGGGCAAATTAAATAAAATTAATTTTGGTTTTTTTTTTGCTTTCGTTGGGTTTTTTAAAAAAATTTGCTTATACAAGTTTAAACCATTTTTTAATTTTTCCGTTAAAGCAAATGGTTACGTAAGCCTTTTTTGATATTCCGTATTAAATTAATCGTAGTAAAAAGCAAAAAAACCTTAACATACTGTTAAAAACGTTTTAAAGCCCCGTTTTTTTTATCGTAACGGTTTGGCGTAAAAAATTTGTAAGTACGGGTAACCATTCGAAGCGCGTTAATTTAAGCGTGCAGTTAAACCATAGCTTAAAATATTGCAAGCAACGCTTGGGTAGCTTAATCCTTTTTATCCATATTGTAAATAACCCTTTCGTACGTAAAAACGCTAAGGTTATTATTGTTTGGAGCGGGGATTTAAACCGTTGCGTTTGTTATTGCTATTGCTTGGTACCGGTTCGGGTGCGAAACAAAATTAATTAAAATGTTATAATTAAATTTTTATTTTTAAAATAAAGTACTAAAAAGTATTAAATAATAGCACGTAATTTAATAATTAAAAGGATTTACAAAATATTTTAAATGCGGTTTAAATGCTTGCTTTAAAAAATATTTAAAAGCTAATTTAAATTAATTAATGCTAAAGCAATAATTAAAAACTATTTAAAAAAAAACCGTTCCTTTTTATACCCCAAACGTTTTTTTTTTGTAAAGCTAATATGTAAAATATGTTTATATCCTTTATATTATTGTTAATGCTTAATATGTTAATTTTTAATATATTACTTGCTTGGGTTACGTAATTAGGGGATAACCCCGCTTTTTGCTTCCTTTAGGCCTTTTTTCGTAATTTGATGACAGTTTTGCTGTCGGGGCGTAACACCCGGAACTTTCCGGTTTTAATTATTGGATACCGGTTTAAAAAGCGCCGTAACCAGTGCCTTTTAAACGATAAGGAAGTTTTTCCGTTGCTTATAATATCGTTAGCAAAAAACCGGATTTCCGCGTGCGTTAAAAAGAAGCTTAAAAAGTCCGGTAGTAAAATACAGCTAGTTAAGCGCTTTTTTTGTTTAGTAGCTATACGTTAATACTTTTTTTGTAATTGCTGCAAAAGTAAAGCGCTTTTAAACCGGTTATATAAAGTAAACTTAAGGATGCTATGCATGCGAGCAGCTTTCCGGACCCCAACCTTTCTATGCATAGCAGCAATAGCCTTTTTAACGTTTTTTGTGTATGCCGTTTTTTTAGCATTTTGGTGTTAAATTAAAGAACAAAGCAGAGAAAACGAACTAAAATTAACAGAAATATAAAGGCGGGAATACTTTAAAAAGTTTTATACTTGTTACGACCAATAACTACCAGGCCAAAAAGGGAAGCCAAAGAAGTAAAGGGTAAGCAAATGGCTACCCTTTACTACAAGGAAGCTTAAATAAGCTGGTTTGTAATTCGTTAACAAAATTACAAATTACAAAACTAATTTGTAATTTATTAACAAAATTACAAATTACAAAACTAATTTGTAATTTATTAACAAAATTACAAATTACCAACCTTTGGCAACGTTTATATAATACCAAATTAAAGTATAAAAAAGAGGGATTTTTTATTGTTTTAAGTAATTTTTAACTAAAGCTCCGGCATTAATTAATTTAAATTAGCTTTTAAATATCCTTTGGACCAAGCATTTAAACCGCACCCAAAATATTTTGTAAATCCTTTTAATTTATTAAATTACGTGCTATTATTTAATATTTTTTTAATGTTTTACCTTAAAAGCAAAAGTTTAATTGTAACATTTTAATTAATTTTATTTAGCACCCGAACCGGTACCGAATAATAGCTATAGCAACTAAAACCGGCAAATTTTCAACGAGCGGAAAACGTTTTAATTATAAAAGCAAAACGTACGATATAATTAAAGTAACAAATGCCAAAGCCGCTTTCGTAGCTATAGTAACCGATATTATTTAATTTAAACAACAAATTAACGTTTCGCAAACGGCGGTTAAAGCTTACAAATTCCTTACTTTTAACCGGTATAATAAAAAGGAAAGCATTTTTAACGCTTTTTTTACGAAATGCCAAAAATACTTTGCTTTTTACCAAATTTAATTTAACATTAAAAAGCAAAAAGTTATTTATGCAATTACCCGTTTTAACGGCAAAGTTAAGGAATGGTTCGAACCCGTATAAACGAATTTTTTTAAAAAATATAATAATAACCGCAAAAAAACCCAAATTATTTTTGCCAATTTTAACCGTTTTTTAAAAAAAAAGTAACTAACGTTTTTGGCCAAATTAACGAAAAAAAAGTGGCGAAACGAAAGCTATTTTAATTTTAACAAAAAAGCGCGGCTTTAATGTACGTTTCCAAATTTTAACGTTTTGTTAACAAATTTAATTAAACCAATTCGATTAAAATCGTTTACTTTTACGCAAAATTGCGTAATAACGTAAAAAATAAAGGTTTTAAAATGGAAAAACCCAAATATTTTACCGATTACGTTAAAACCGTAATTAAAATTAGCGTTTGCTTTTACTAGCGTTGCTTAAAAAAAAAGGGTTAAAAAATTAAACCAATAATAAATAGCAATTAATTACAGCAACGGTTTAATTGCTACAAAATTATAGCTTATGGTTTTTATTTAAACTTTATGGATTTTAACGCAAATGTTACGTACTAAAGCAATGGAAAGCGCAAGCTTTAAAATTTTAAAAACGGAAAATATTTTAAATGCAACAAGCCAAAATATATTAAACGAAATTGCCTTAAATAATAAAAACAAAAAAAAACGTTAAATAAAAAAAATAAAAACCAATAAGTAACGGTTATTAAAAAAAAACGTTCGAATTAAAAAATAAAGGATATTCCAGCCCCGCGTATTTTTAAACCATTTATATTAATAATTGTTGGAACAGCATTGCGGTGCGCGTGCGATCCGGAAAGGGAGGTTGTTACAAAAGGCTCTGGGATCCTCCGGATCCCGCACGGGCCAACTCTATCTGCCTTAAGCAAAGCAGGGAACCACCCTTTGGGTAATTGTCCCTGCGCATATAAAGGGCAATCCTGTACCCTTCTTTTGGCAAATAAATTCTTTTTTCGGTATGCACAATAATAGGATTTTTTTTAAATTATTAAAATCGTTGTTTACCTTTACCAAAAAATTTCCGAGCTTTAAAATAAAAGTACCAAACTTTTATTAACATTAATTAATATTGTTCGAAAAGCAATACAAAACGGTTAAGTAAAGGATTTAGCGCTAAATTACCCGTTAAAATCTTTTAATCGAAAGGAAAGTTAGCGAAAAATTTAAAAGCAAAGGAATACCTTTCCCCCGTTTAATAACGTATTTACTAAATAAATAAATCCCTTTCTTTTTTGGCCCGCGCTATTTAGCAATTAAATTAAAACCAATTAAAAAAAATTTACGAATTTAAAAAAAACGTTATGTAATTTCCAAAATAAATTAAATTTTCAATTTTTAAATTTTCGTAAACCTTTGGATTAAAAAATTACCCGAAACGAATTTTTTTGTTTACTTACCAAAAGAATAATTATAAATTTTTCCGATAAAGCTTTAACGATTAAACAAGCATTATTAATAAAATATTTGCAGCATAAAAAGCAACTTTTAAAAATAATTTTAATTAAAAAAAACCTATTTTACGGAAAAAATTACAAAATTATTTAAAAATTTAGGCCTTTCCCAAAATTTTATAAATATTTGTAACGAAAAGCTTTTCCAATAAACAAATTATATTTTAAAAGGAACATTTTAAACCGCTTCCAACGATTAAATTTAAGCTTAAATTTTTAAATTTATGCTTAAATACCGTTATTACAACGGTAAATTCTTATTTTCCGCCTTTTTTAAAATTTTTAACGGTTTAAGCTTAGCACGCTTGGAATACCTTAATAAAAAAGCCCCGAAAGCATTTGTTAAATTTTTAACAAATCGAAAAATTACCGTTTCCGGCAAAGCAAACCTAAAAGGTTCGAAAAAATTAAATTTGCTAATAACCGATACAAACAACGCTTAAAACCTAGCATTCGGGGAAATAGCAAAACCTTTAACGTTAAATTGCCAAAACAAAAGCAAAGCGCCGAAAATTGCATTTTTATTTGCAAAAATTTCGGCATAAATTAAAGCCCGCAATAAAAAAAACCACCGAAAAGCGGTTAACCAAATTTTTTTAAAACAAACGAGTACGAAAGCTCGAACGCAATAAGCACGAAATTAAAACCCAATTCCAAAATTAGCTTTACTTTCCGGTACCCCGGCAAAAACAGCCATTTTTAAATTACCGTTTCCCTAATCCTTTTAAGCAATAAACCAAAAATTAGCTTTTTACCAAAAAAAAACTTACCGATTAAACGGAATCCATTTTTATAACTTACTAAATTAAAAAAACCGGCCCCGGATTTTTAAAAAGTACTTTATTGCTTAAAATTTGGCAAAAAGCTAAACCCCAATCCCCCAAACAGCCTTTTCAACCCCAATTCCCCGAAAAACCTTTTTAACCCTTATTCCTTTACAATACCAGCCGGTACCCCAAACAATAAACCAATACCGCATGCTTTTACCATTAAAAACGCTTAATGCATCGCTCGATCCGAACTTGCTAAAACCCTTTTGCAATATATAAAATAAAGCATACAAATATTTAAAAAAAACAATACAACATTTTAAACAACAAAATTTTAATTTTCGCAAATATTTGTAAAGCGCTTAGCATTCCTTTTTTGCAATTATACGCAATTTTTCCCATAACCCTTACAAACCAAACCAAAGCTTATTTTATCCAAATTATCGGTAAAAATTACTTTTTTAAGGAAATTTACTTTAAATTTTAAAAGCATTTTAATACGAAAATTAACAAGCAATAGTATTATACAAATTGGAATTTAATTACATTCCAAACCGTTCGTTTAAAAAGCGAAAACGTAAGCAAAAGCAAAATGGAAATGCTCCAAATCCTTTTAAACAAATTTTAAACTTATTAACAAGCTTTTAGCTTTGTTTATTAGCAAAACCATTAATTGGTTACGAGCACCCTTCGTACAATTTAAAAAGTGCCCGAATTTAAAATAGCCCTTTTACGTCTAAAAAAAAACGTTTAAAAGCTTAGCTTTCCAATTACGCAATACCCTTTAAATGGAAAAAAACGCAAATACATACGGCAATTACTTTATCAAACGCAAATTCGAAAAAAAAGCTAAAAACAATTAATAAAATATAAAAAGCGTTAGGAAACCACGTTTTTATAGCTTCCAAAACCGCAATATTAACAAGTGCTGGATTTGCAACAAACCTGGTTACCGCTTTACGCGGCATACGCTAAAAAAATAGCGCAATTCGAAAAAACGCTGGAAACAAAACCGCTAAAAATACGGCAATTAAAAAAAAAATTCCAATTCCTTTTTAAATACAAAAAAAAATGGCAATAAAAATAACAAAGCGCCCGCAAACGATTTACAAATTTATTTAACGTTAAAATCCAGCAATTAATTAAACGATAAAAAAAAAACCCCTTTTCGTTACAGTTTTTTACCGATGCTACCGCAAGATTTTTCGTTAACAAAATTTTCCGTTACCGCATTTACGCTTATTTCCAGTATCGATTAAATAAAAATAACAAAAAATAAATATTAAAGCAATACGTACTTTCCAATAAAAATAAATAATGCGGTATTATGTCCAATACAAAAACCGCAAAAGTTTTAACCGCTAGCTTTACGCAATTCCGAATATTGCAATGCTATTTGCCAAATTTCTAAATGGTTATTGGCAAAACCAAGCACCAAATTCGCTTTGGCTTAAAAAACGCTTTGTACAACTTAAACGAAATTACTTTGCAAACCTTTGTTGGATTGGTTACTTTTTATATAATTCCAACGCATACCTTTTTTTATATGCTTGGAAAATATGGACAAATTGGGGGTTTATTTCGACAATACGCGCAATAAACTTGTAACCAAACAAAGCAAGCGCGTATTAATTACCAAATAATTAGGCCATTTATAATTTTTTATCGATAAAATTAGCAATATAACGGCAGCCGCTTCGTATTTAATTAATTTTTAAAGCGCAAAAATGCCTTTTTTAATAAAAACCGAATTAAAACGTTTGTACAAACGATTTGGCCACCCCTTTGTTAAGCGCTTTTGGCATATGCTTAACCAAATAAACCATCGAACAAATTGCAACGCTTTGCAAATAATTAATTGGATATGCCACCATTGCCAAACCACAAATTCCGCCCCGCAACGCTTTAAATTTATGCTTAAAAATAACGTTAATTTTAATTACAAAATAATTGTTAACGTTATGCATTTAAATAATAAACAAATGCTTTATGTAATTAATGCAAATACCGCATTTAACGCCGCAACCTTTTTTAAAAAAGGATTAGCTAAAAAAATTTGGGAAGCTTTTAAACGCTGCTGGTTTAACATTTACTTTGGCCCGCTTAATATGGTATTTTACAATGCAAAAACCAATTTTGCTGCAAACGAATTCCAAGCAAAAGCAAAGCTTTTTGGAATTACTTGCTATTAAGTTTTTATAAAAGCTTATTAATTAATAAACAAGGTTAAAAGGTATTACGGACCTTTCCGTCGTGCTTACGAAATAATTAAAAAGGAATGCTTTAATATTTACCCAAATTTAACGCTTTAAAAAGCAATTAAAACGCTAAATAATACCGCCGAACCCAACGGGCTAATTTTTACGCTGCTCGTTTTTAATGTTATGCCCCAATTAATTAGCAATTCGGCACTTACAAAAACGCAAATTTAATAAGCGGTAACAATTACCAAAGCCATAGCAAAGCTACGCAAACTTTTTGCTAAACGAAAAGTTAATAACGCTTTAAACACGCGCAACGGTCCAAGCATTAAAAAAACGTTGCCCAATTTTTTTGCTTTAAAAAGTAAAGTTTTTGTATACCGAAAAAAAAAGGGATAGCAAAAACTTTTTAAAATTTTATTAATAACAAATAATAAAATTATTATTAATATACCAAACGGTTTAATAACGTTCCGCAATATTATTTGCAAACCTTACCATAAATTGGAAAAGCAACAAATAGCAAATTTAAAAAAGCAACCGAAACCATTTGCATATTTAGCTTTGCCCAAATTACAATTTTAAAAACGATTTTGCAAAATTACCAAGCATTAAAATTACAATTTAAAAAGTAATAGCAAAAACAATTTTAAAATCGAAAATTTCCCGCCGCCGCTTTCGTACCAACGAAAAAAACCGCGCAAAGCATTTTAGCCCTTAACACTTCCGGTTATTACATAGTACGATAAACGCTTTAAACGCAACGCCGCGCGGAAAATTACTTTATTAGCTTTCGTAAGCGCAAAAAAAAACAAAATTTATGCGTTTAACGCTTTATTACCGCCAAATTGGCAAAATTACAACTTCCGGCAAACCTTTTAAGCAATTAAACCAAAAAAAATTAAAAATTTGCTAGCTAACAAAATAATAAAACTAATTAAAAAATAGCAAATCGATAAATTGGCGAAAATATTTGGTTTACGAATGGTTAAAAAGGTTAAAGGAATAAATTTAGCATTTTACAAAAAGTTAAAATTTGTAATGCAAAAGTATAGCAATTGGAAAAAAGCAATATTGCTTACTTAATTTTTAACGATTATGCAATGCAATTAACGCTTAATTTTTGCATTTGCATTAAATTTTATAGCTACAAACAATTAATTAATAATTTAAAATATTAGCTAAGCATATACCCAAGCCGAAACCGAATTGCAAAAAACCGTTTATTTGCGTTTGCCCAAAAAATTGCAATAGCATTACCCATTTGGAACTTTGCTTCGTTTAATTAAACCGTTTTACAAATTGGCCGAAACGGGATTGCATTGGTTCGTTACATACCAAAAGCATTACAAAAAACGCTTAAATTGCTCCATTTCCAATTACAATTTTTATTTGCTTTTTTTAAAAATCGGCAAAAGCTTTGGAATCGTTGGTATACAAACCAACGATACGCTAAACCTAAGCAATAAAGCTTTTATGGAAAAAAAATTGCTTTTTTAAAAGCAAATTTTAAAGCCAAATTACGGTTTATTTTAAGCCCAAAAAATAAACGCCATTTTAACGGTTGCAAAATAACGATTGGCAAAATAATTATTTGTATGCAGCAAAAAGGACAAACAAATTAGCTCGAGCTTGTGCTTCGCAAAAACGATAACATTTAGCAATAATACGTAATTTAGCGCGTACGAAAAGCATATATTAGCTCCATATGCTAATTGGAAACCGCATTTAATTACTTTGTAACCGCGCAAGCCCAAAACCCTTTTAATACGAACGTTACCAAATTTAACAAACGCATTAAATAGCAAATTAACAACGCAAACAAAGGCTTAAATTATATGCAAATCGATTTAATACAAGCCAAGCTATACGTATTTGTAAACGGGTCCTTTGCAAATAACAAAAACCTAAATTTACAAATCGGTTTTTTGGTTGTTTTTAGCGTTAAATAAAGCATAAAGCAAAAAAATAGCTTCCAAATTACGGGAAATATATTGCATTAAAGCTTTGTTAAATGCAAAAAAGTAATACGGAACGTTTTTGCCAACGAAATTTACGGCATAATTAGCGGGTTTAATACAAATTACGTTTTAAAAATTACGCTTTTCGCAATTGGCGAAAAGCTAAAATTGCCTTTTTGCAAATTAATAATTTGCACAAACAATTTATCGCTTTACCAATATTTCGTTTAATTTGGAATAATAACGGAAAAACGCTTTATAATAAATATTATAGCTTTTTGCAAATTTTATAAAAGGCGGGAAATTAACGAAATCCGGTGGATTGCAAAAGCAAATAACCTTGCAAACGCCATAACCAAAAATTAACCAAACAAAGCTTTTAAAAATTTCGTTAATTCCAATATTACAACGGTAAAAGTTAAAAAATAAATAAAACAAAATTAAAAGTAAAAAAAAGCCAAAGGTTGCTTTAATTAATTTTTTTTCCATTTTTATAACAAGTTATTAATTTTAAAAACGCAGCGCGCAAAGCATGGAACCGTACTTTCCATAATCGATAAAAGCAGCAAAACAAAAGCTTAAAAAAATAATACCATCATTTTTTTAAATTTCCTTTATTTTTCGTCCTTTTTATCCGCCATTCTTATAAAAACCGCAACATTTTACATACGGAAAGCTGCCGATCGGTCCGCTTTATTACGCTCCGTTCGTATTATCGTAAAAAGGTTATCGTTGGCTTTAACGAACGTGCCGTTCTTACCAACGTCCTTTTTAGCAAAAAGCAAAAGCATTTTGCAAATAATTCGCTATTTGTTTAGCTTTTGCAAGCAAATAAATTTTATTAAATAAATATCCAAATTATTTAACCCAAAAATAAAAACTTACATTTTTTTTGCAAACATTTTTATTTTAACGCTAAATAAAAAAAAACTTAAAAGCAAAACGTATAATTATAAAAAATTAAAAAAAATTGTTAATTTAAACCGGCAAATAAACTTTTAAAAATCGAAATGCTTACATAAGCTTGCATGTATAGCCCGAAGCGCATAGCCAATACCTTTTTTTGTTCGGAATTTGGTCCCAACAACCATTACCGTTATCCAGTTTAAGCATTTTGCCAGTTAAAATTAATTTAAAACATTTTAAACATAAAATCGATCGAAAATCCCCTTTTTAACAGCGCTTACCAAAACCTGCAAAAAATATCGGGCTTTTACTACCAATAATGGAACGAAAAGGAATTTTAAAGGAAATTTTGCCCTTTTTTTCCCTTTTTTTTCCGGGAATTAACTAATCGAAACGAGCGTTAAATTGCTAAACGGGCGAATCGATATTTATAGCCACATCCAATAAATCCTATAATTACGTTAAAATAGCTTTTAATTGCTTAAAAAGCTTAAGCTAAACCGTAACCTGCTTATTTTAATTATTAAACGAATCGATAAAAATAAATACAGCCGATAAATCCTGTAATTGCATTAAAACGGCTTTTAATTGCTTAAAAAGCTTAAATTAAGCCTTGGTTTGCTTTTAATAATCGGTAAAAGTCGTTTCCATTGTATTAATAAGAAAAACGGGCTAAGCGTTAACTTGCTTGTGCTATTCGGTAAAAGCCGTATTAGTTATATCGATAAAAAGCACAGGCTAAGCGCTGGCCTGCTCGTGCTATTCGATAAATGCCGTCTTTATTGCATTATTAAAAAAACAAGCTAAAATTTAGCCTGTTCGTATTGCTTGGTAAATACCGTTTTTGCTGCATTATTAAAAAAAACAAGCTAAAATTTAACTTGCTTACGCTATTCGGTAAAAGGTCCGTTTTAAATTTAAAAAGCTAAAAATCCTGCAAGCTTCGTTTCCTTTTTACAACCAGCTTTTTGCGCAATAAAATTTCCATTTAAACGAAAAATAAAACCGCTTTGCGGTTCCATTAAATTGGCATAATCCAGCTAAAGCCCAAATGCCGTTCGGGTAATAGCACGTTTCGCAAATTTAGCGCAACGGTATTGCGCGAAAGCTAAATAACGTTTAAAACGTGCATTATACGCGCTTTTCGCCTTTTTAAAAGCACGTTTAGCAAGCTTAAAAATTTTTAAATCGATAAAAGCCAAATTGTTATATTTAGCTTTTTTTTGTACTTGCTAATTTAAAAAAACTTAATTTCTTTTATCGAAACGACCCGCAAACCAATTTAATCCAAATTCCGCAAACGCATTCGTCGTATTAATTAATATAAAAAAGCTAGTACGCGCAATTCCGGAATTAACTTTGTAAAAATTAACAAATTTAAAAAGGTTAATAGCCGGATTGTAAGTTAAATTAACGTAAAAACCAGCAAGCGGAATAGCAACCGGATTTTTAAATGGATTTTAAACGAGCATAATTTTTTTTTCGGAATAATCGGCGGAATTGTTAATTTGGTTTTAAACCGGATTTGGCTAAAACTAAATTTTTTCGTCGGTTTAACCATTTTAAATATTAATTTTGCCTTCGTTATTTTTTTGTTTGGAACCTTTTTGTTTTTTAAACCGGCGGCTTTTGCAATTGCCAAAAAGGTTTTTTTTTTCGAAGCAGCCATTTTGGTTGCAAAGCAATTTGGGAAAGTAAAAAATATTTAATTGGAAAGTTAAAAGCAAAACGGGCAAAGCAATAAGGTTAAAAAAAAAGGTTTACAAATTTAAATTTATTAAATTGCAATTAAAATGGGAAAAGTGCCTTTTATAAGTGCAAACCCCAAAAGCCAACGAAATGCTTACTAATATTATTCTTTATTAAAGCAATTTATTAAATAGCTTTTTGCCGCGCCAAAAACGCACATTACCTTTTTTTTTATTATTCCTTAAATTAATAACCCAATGCTTTTTAACGCACCGAAATGGCTTTTTAAAGCTTAATTTCCTTTTATTCCTTTGTTATTATTTACTTTTTAAATAAAAGTCCGGATTTCCAAATCCAGCATATTTTTTTTTTATTAAATCCATTTTAATAAAACCTTTCGAAAATTTTAGCGATTTCTAAATAAAGCTTTTTTTTTTTTAATAAA